GTTCCATGTTGAAATTTGTTTAAATGAATAATTATTTTGGTATTCAAACCAACGAGCAATCTAAATGGCTGGCTTATTTTAATTGATGCCCATCTAGTATAGGCAAGCATTAGGTGTGCATAAAGCAGAAGCATTGTCCTGAAATTTGAAACATTTTACCTTTTCCTTGCTTATAAATGTAATCTTCTTATTCAAGTTTGTACACAATGAAATGAATGAAATTATTCTCTCTCTTAAAATTGATAAAATTTGGGGGATGGTATTCAGAATTTCGTTCTGGGCATGATTCGGTCTTCCTATAATGCATCGACGTTGTTAGCCAAAGACTGATTGTGGACGGTGTACCTTGTTATAATGCCGGTGGTTGTTCAGTTGGTGGGCTTCTTACTATATTACCTGTAGGGCTATTTAGGTTGTTATTGCTGAAGGACGAGAATGGTAATAGGCCGGATGGGAAGGCAATGGTAGCAGTTTAGAGGTTGAGTGCTCCGTTTGCTAGTGGGGGCATTGGCTATGGTCACAATGCATCTTGACAGAATCAAGACAATGCGCATTGAGTAGAGTTAGGGTACATCCTGAGATTTTGGGTGCCCTAAAAAAAAACTTACAGGCACCAATAAATAAAACCTAAAATGGTGCCTTTTTCATTTAACAAAAATCTATCCTTCTAGAACCAAAAATATGACGAAATAACAATTAACAAGTAAACAATCGCCATCAATAAAATGACGATATTACAATGTAGACTATATTATTGTAAAGCAAGCAACAAAGACTGACGATAGAACTTTTTCTTTTCTGTTTTACTATTCTTCATGGGTTAAAGGGCGAGACGGAGAGAAATGAAGAAAAGTGCTCTAAGGTTAGCCTTTCAATGTTTACTTTTATCATTTGGATTTTGGGTTGCTTATTGTCTTGTTGGAATGATAATTGATTAATGAAGCTCATTTGACATTTGGGATTGAGGTGATAAAACAAATATTTAAAATATGTTTATTTATTTTTGAAAGCAAGGTAGTTTAAAATTAGAAAAATAATTAAGCAAAACATATTGAAATTAGCTACGAAGAAGCCTAAACCATATGAATCTTTTCCATTGTTCCAATAAAATATCTTGGTACAATACACATTAGTGTTAATAAATATAGGGTTAAATATATGGCTATTTTATTTTATTATTTATTAAGGATAGAATAGTCTTTTCAAGTTCCTTTGTTTAGCCTATATATAGT